TCGGTTGACTGGAACAAGGGAAATTTTGGCCCAAAATAGGGCTCAAGGTGGGTGAAATTGCCGATGCGTAAATATCGCCGAGACCGCTAGCTTCGCGATAGCACAATTCTGTAAGTTTTCCATCAAATTTAATACTTTTTGTTTTATTACCTTCATAAAAACATTGTCTACTATTTCGTAAGAATTTTTTTTTTCCTGTGGGGAATTTCCAGATTAGGGGTCTGGACCCTCAAAGGGTTAAAAGGCTAGAATTGAACTGTGTAAATTCTCTGAGGTCCATAGTTCCCTAACTGTAATGTAAGTTAACTGGTAATTTCATTAAGTAAACTGATGAATTAGCATACAAGTTGTATATTTCATTGTGATGGCAGTTCACTCACCATTATTTGGGAACTTGCATATACTGTATGTACTTGTTACTTGAAATTTATCACCATCACGTCGTCATAAGCTTCTTACACCTGATTAACATGTGTGGATGTTTAATACTGTTTAGTATTCTTTGGCACTTGCTTAGTCCATGTAAATGTTAGTAAAGTTGTGTGTTTCACTTATTTAATGCATTTGGTATGTATAATGATTATACTGTACCTTGAAATAGGACTGGCAACCTAGCTGCACGCCATGTGCGCTTGGAGAATCCTGCACAGCCTGTCAAATACCAAGGGTTGTTAGTACTATCAAAGATTCATATGGATTCATTGAGCGAGCAGATGTTGTGGACGAGATCTTCTTTCACTTCTCTGAGGCTAAGAATATTCCTGGAGGGCTGAAGCTAGGTGATGACGTTGAGTTCTTCATTCAGACCCGCAATGTAAGTACCAGTAAATAAATTTTTGAATGAAGTGATTCTTGATTTTTAGTCTAAGCTTTATGTAGGAGAGAAGTGTTTTGCGAGCCATGTATTAGACAAAAAGTAATAAAAATGAGGTGAGTGTACGTACCAACAGAATCACTAAGTCGCATAGTCTGTCTCATTTTCTGTGTGGGTGACCACTGTTCATAAATATTACCTTACTCTCTCACAACAGCGCATCAAATCCCAGCAATCCTTTATCCCTCTTGCTCCAACCTAACATGCTCACACATGCCTTCTAGATGTTGTTGAAGCTCCTTCCTCAAAACTTTTTTCACTCCTTCCCTTCAGCCTTTCTTAAGATGTCCCCTGCCCCTCTCTTGTCTACTACTTAGGGGTTCCTGAAGGATGTGAAAAATGGAACTCTAATTCTTTATAAAATAAGTACTATTGTGAATGGCAAAGAGGACAAATGATGGAATTTGGGAACTTAATAAATGAAAATAAAATAAGAAAACCCTTGAACAAAACAATAGTGTTAACTGAATGTTTAGTTATCCTTTTGGAGCTGAATTGCCAGCTTTAGCATATTTGTGTGATTATAGTTGTATATTTCATTTGCAGGGCAAAGAAGTTGCAACCAACATGGTAAAATTGAATCCTGGAACAGTTGTGTTTGAGGATATCAACCAGGAATTAATAAGAGGTCAAGTGTTGAAGCCAGTAGAGAGGAACCCTAGGCATAACCAGAAGGATCCACTCACTGGCCGAATACGTTACAGGGGCAAGGATCGCTCGGAGGTATGTGTTCATGGTTTTTTCTTCGGAGTACCTGGATATAAGCAGTAGTAACATTTGGGCATGGAATTCTAAAGCAGCTCGTATCTTTTGATTCAACTTTTGCTCCAATAATCGTCTTTGCTCCTGCATAACTGTGAACTAAATTTACATTACGCAATTACAGTGGAACCCCCGTTAACGATTTTAATCCGTGCAAGAGGGATAATTGTTATGCGAAATAATCGTTATGCGAATGAATTTCCCCATAAGAAATAATGGAAATAAAATTAATCCGTGCAAGACGCCCAAAAGTATGAAAAAAATTTTTTTTTACCACATGAAATGTTAATTTTAATACACACAAACTGAAAAAGGCATGCACAATTACATGACACTTACTTTTATTGAAGATCTGGTGATGATTGATGGGATGGGAGGAGGGGAGAGCATTATCTTCTTACTGTTTAGAAGGGAATCCCCTTCCATTACGACTTGAGGTAGCAAGTCCTTTTCCGGGGTTACTTCCCTTCTTCTTTTAATGCCCCTAGGACCAGCTTGAGAGTCACTGGACCTCTGTCGCACAACAAATCTGTCCATAGAGCTCTGTACCTCCCGTTCCTTTACGATTTGTCTAAAATGGGCCACAACATTGTCATTGAAATAGTCACCAGCACGGCTTGCAACAGCTGTGTCAGGGTGATTTTCATCTATAAAGGTTTGCAGTTCAACCCACTGTGCACACATTCCTT